ACGACAAACTCATCAAGAGTACAAGAGTTTATTAATCGGAGGCGGTCATTAACTTTAGTAGCCAGATTTTTTGAGGTTACATAGCTTCTTTCATGTTTTTAAACTATTGATTATGGTACACTATCCAACATGATTGGTTTCAAGAGAAAACATCCGTTATCAGCAGTGAGTACACCACATACCATCCTAAGCTTATCGATAACCCGGCATCGATGATAAATCGATTAACTAAACTCTCCAGAGTTAACTCTCAATTCTTCTTCTCACTAAGATGCTCATGCCCTCGATATTTCTCTCAGTTTTCAAACCCTTCCTGGCATATTCTTCACATAGGTTAGGTTGTAAGAACCTCGTGGAATCTCTGAGAAAGGTCTCAGCTCACTGGTCGGCTGACGACATAAGCAGGTCTTTGTTGTATCCATGCTGCTTTTTTGATTTTCGATAAAATACAATCACATGGTCGGAGTTAGGAAAGGCTATTCACTGAAGCTGAAGTTCCTCCCAACAATTTACCGCCTTATCGTGGCTGGGAGGTGTTTCTGGATGCCGGACTGCGAAGTACAACAGGCGATTCATCCACACAACATGGTTTCCCAAGCTGAGAAGGAGTCCAGCGTTTCCATCAGGTAGCCCAGCTAAGAGTAAGCCAATATCGGGATTAACCACCGTCCTGGTGTCAAACTAGTCGCATTGTGGCAAATCTTCCTCTGATCCACAAGTGGTCGATTGCCTGGGGTGGTGGCAACTTAAGCTAGGCTGATAACAGGACTCCTGAGAACCACAATGGCTAAAGCACCAACAGATAATTAGAATGGAAATTATGCAGGGCCCACACTACCAGTGAAGTCCGGCAATCCAAGTATCCAACTATCCAAGTAGGCAGCACGGCTCGAGGAAGGCGACGAAATCGCCGAAACGTTAGCCATGGATCAACAACACCAACGACAACGACAACGAAATCCAAGCTTGCATCAACTCAAAAAGATCGGCTTGTAAGGTCATATAAATAAATATGTCAACTATTTATGCCGACGTTCTCAGAAAGTCAGTCTTGAACTATTAAGACATTTGCAGCAAAACAAATCCAAGTAAATATTCATTGAAGTTCTCCAAAAATGGAGCACTCTTAGCTCAGTGGTTAGAGATTCCATGCAATACACACGTGCTCTTTCGTTCGACCCGCTTACCGAGGAAATCAAGCCCTCCATCCATCCGGAGTTGACTAGCTGATGCTAATCTTATCTGGGTGACCAAAATACAATATTTGAGGAATCGCTTAACGAACACTAGTGCTGCTAAAGGCTAAATATGTATGCGATCACCTCCGAGATGCTATGAATTTGGTGGAATACACGACGCCCATAAGTAATTGAATAATGTCGGGCTCTACGACCTTTTTCTCTCCATCAGTTGAAGCTTGTTACCTACACACCTAAACGGCCTACATCTGACCGAGACTGTTTTCCCTGGAGTGCCGTGAAATCGCTAATTTCCGAGATGTTCCAAGGTCTTCACAACACACATCCGTATGCCTTTCTGGATCGAACTGAGGTTTGTTGCCTCGTGAAAGGTTTTTCCCAGGACGGAGGCCACTCGCGACGTTGATTCGCTCCAAAATGAGTTTCCACAGTTGCCATAGAAAATAATATTATGTCATTTCGGGACAAATGAAACAAGAAATGACATTGCGTTCTCCGGGCAGCAAAGACACTTCCCTACGACTTCAACCCTATTTTTCACCAGCCCGACCGGAACCCGTTCCTCGTTTTCCTTTTCTCTCCTCTTTCCTCTTCCTAACCAAACCGTGAAATCTGCAGTCTGTTGGTTCTATTACTCATCGCCAATTCCCACATGCGTTATTTTTAACATGGACGAATAGGAAACTTCAGTGGTAACTTAACAATTGGGACGTTATTTTTCTCACTCGTACATCCTAAACCACACTGGATGGCTCTATTTCACAAAAAAAGCGTTCCGATGTTCTCCCAACGGGCCCAGTTTTCGTGATTCCTCTGTGACACGACCACATCACGGTCAGGCGCAGACGTCGAGAGTGGTCGGAGAACGAGAGGTGGCGGCTGAGAGTGGCGGCAGCTTCTTTCTCGCGCTTTTCAGTTATCATACTTTTGTTCTGATGTTATGGTTATCGACCATTTTTGCGAATGTAGTCAGTTTCAGTGGCAGAATATGACCGGTTTCCACAGATGAGACGTGACGTTCTATTATAACGGACGCAATCACCTACTAAACACTAGTTGCTCGAACTATTGCCATTTCGTCAGTCACGGTTGGGCTTAGTTGAAATAATAACTTAAAAAGAAAGGAATGCAACACTTTTTTCTTTTCTTCTCTATTTTTTAAGTTGACCTTAACAATGGCGCATCGATTTGTGACGTCATCACAACGTGTTGTTGAAACCTCTTAAGGCTAGCGTTTAGAGACACTGGATTTTCTGGGTTGATTGCGTTTGTGAGTCAAAAAATTGAGTTAGCCCTGATATGAGGTCTTTAGATAAAGTGACTGTTAGAAGGGAAAAGTTTTCAAGTAAGGAGAAATTGAAAATTGGATGTCTCTGGATTCGATCCAGGAACCGTTTCCAGTGTAGTGTATCAACTTTCTAGCTAACCGTCCACTCCATGTACGATTAGATGTTTTCATGAAAGACACAGAGTTTAGTCGAGTCTACGCATTTCACTCCAATAGCAGTAGGCTGATTTACGTGGACGTTCACAACGATACACTTATCTACGGACAGCTGTCTCCAGCAGATAGCGCAAGTCCCACCAGTAGTTGAACGATTCTTCTCCGGATGCGGTTTCAGCTGAGAATATGGTTTTTCTTTCCACAACGACTGGGAAGTATGGTATGTCGCTGTAATGGAGCTCTAGATTCTCGCATAACTCATCATGTCTTTCAGGAACTTCCTCCGCCACAGAAGAAGCGGATTTTAGACTAGCCATCACCAGTTCAGCTCAACTCGCAGTCCCATTTTCCTCCGATGGTTTCGATTCGGGTTCCCACTCGGCGGCGCTCGTGCACTTGGGCGCTGGATTAAGTGATGATGACCGGACTCCATCAGCAATCAGCACGTAGTCATGAATGATTGCTCATCCTGCGCATTCGGAAACCTATTCTCGTCATGGAATCTCAAATCCCAGCCTCCAAGAGTTTCTGAATCCATATAACTTGAAGAAGTATAAAGCAGGATTAGTACATGGTGCATCTGCTCAGCACCCTACTGATGGGTTTGCGGAGACGAGGGATTTGCTCCTAAGATATCCCTCGTATTGGATAATCAATCAAATTCAGCTTTGCTTTTGTTATTCTACAATTTCGTAGCTCTCAATAACTTCGGCGAATCGTTTTGAAGTGTTCTGTAACGTTCCAGACCATAGTGCATGTAGAACCTGTTCGTAATAAGAATAAGGTTTTTTCTTGAAGTGTTGTCCTAACTTTGCAATACTTAAGTACAGAAGTCCTTGTAGCTGTTGTACTTAGTTATTTTTGCATAACTCCATGAATAAAATACACTACTGGGTGTATTAGGGTGCGTGCGCAATGTTCGGAGGCGCCCTTCAACACACGTGATCCCCGCGTTCATGGCTCACCGAAGCTTCCATCCCTCCAGGGTCGGCAGATTGGTACCAGAGTTGTCTGTGAGGCTAGCAGCACTGTCTCGATACATCGACAGGCCACGTCGAGTCATTGTAGAGGCCAGATGTGCATTAAATCACCTCCAAACTATGCTTAATGAAGTTGAATGCATGGTGCATCCATCAAGGATTGATCAACGCCGAAAGCTTTATTCTTTTTTTTACTGGGTGTATAGCTCCGTAGATGACATTCCTAATAGCTATTCAAAGACCGAGCTTCCTTTACCTTGGATTAACTAATTAGCTTATATTTTTCATTGATGTGCTATCAGGAGGTTGGTAAAAACTTTGTTCGACTAACGTTTCGACGTCTTCGTCTTCTTCAGAGCCGAAGGGCGATCGACTATGGACCGTCGACTCGGACCATCGGCTCTGAGGAGTTAAAGGCCCCGAAACGGTAACTAAATAAAGTTCTTTCTATCAACCTCGTGTCATCTTACCAATGAAAGATATACGATGATTAGTTATGGCGTGTTTAGTATTCTAACTACAGAAACCCACAACTGCGTTTATCTGGTATTTTCAAAGAAGTTTAATATTTAGGAGACAAACATGAAAGCTTTTTGGTTGCTTAGTAGATGAAACTGTGGCCTAGGACATACGTAAAAAACGAAAAACTGTTTTTCTTTATTATAGATGAAAAGGGAGAATATCTCCTCGGCTGGGGAGAAAAATGAGTACTATCAAGAGGAGGAATCTAACACGGAGGTAACATTGTTATTCATCTTACCCCACTGTATTCGTCTGTTTACTTACATACTTGGATACTTGGATGGCCCGTGTCTACTGATTGTGCGGTCCCCAGCATAATCTGTTTCTTTTTTTTCGGAGTTTTGCTGGCTTAGCCACAGTGGTTCCCTGGAATCTCGAGGTTATCCAGGCCAAAGCCTGCCCCAGGTCGTCGCCACCACAGCTAGTGGTCGTCCTTATGGGTCAGAGGAAGATTTACCACCATGCGACTTTGATACCAAAACGGTGGTGGATCCTGTTATTGGTTTACTCTTAGCTGGGGTCCCTTATGGAAGCATCATAGCCCATCTCAGTTTGAGATATCTTGCTGAGAGGATCGATCACCCCACTGTTCATCGCAGCCCGACACCTAGGAACACCTCGGAGCCACAGTAAGTGGGTAAACTGTTGGGAGGATTCGTCTATTTACAGATCATATCCACAATAGTTGAAATTTGTAGTCTTTAGGGTTTTTTGTGACGATTGTATTGTTCAGAATTCTATAACAGTAAGATGTTGGACCTGTGAAATTTTCAGGACGATGGCGATTATTCAACTGATGACGAAATTCAATACTGTGATTGTATTGCATCAGTCCTTGCTCAGTCCATCCCTGGAATGCCTGGGAAAAAAGGCAAAGATTCATCTTTATTCTTGGCTTTTGTAATAATGCAGTACAAACGCTCCACGAAGAAGTATAAAATGCTTATTCTTGTCGTCATTCTCGAGTCGTCAACCACATGCGACTATAATCAGCTGTTCTAAACTTCCTCATTGGAAGTCACGAAAAAAGTGGTTCTGAAGAAGGCGATACTGCCGAAACGTCAGCTAGCGTTGTATTGTATTGTGTTTTTTTATGGAACTAAATGTATGCTGTTTAAAAACCTCGCGATTGCTGAACAAGAAAACGACACATTCATATTCCAATGCCGAGGTTAATAGAAAGTCGATCCTGGCAGCTTATTCTTGAGTAGAAATATAGTTGGTTATTACTTATACACCTAGATACTTGAATGGCCCGCCTTCCTGGTTGTGCAGGCCCCAGCATAGCCTTCGTTTTTTCGGAGTTTTGCTGGTTTAGCCATTTTAGTTTCCTGGTGTCCCAAGATCATCCTAGTCGAAGTCTTCCTTAAGTTGCCAACACCCCAGGCAGTCGGCTGCCTTTGTGGATCAGAGGGAGATTTGCACCATGCGACTAGTTTGATGCAAGGACGTTGGTGGATCCTGGTGTTAGTGTACTCTTATCTGGTCTTCCTGATGGAGACGCCGGACTCCTTCTCAGCTTGGGAGACCTTGCTGCGATGATGGATCCCCCGCTGTACATCGCAGCCCGATAGCCAGGAACACCTCCTAGGCACGATTAGGCAGTAAACCGTTGGCAGGATAGTTGGTTATTACTTAATGATTCTTGAAATCAAAAGTCGAGTCAGTGATTCTTTGTAATGATTTCTTTGTTGATACTTACTTACCTACTTTCTAAGTTGATGTTATAGAAAATTGTCTTCTTTAATGTGCTTTTAGAAAGTAGTTTTGCAAAATAGAAGGAAAAGAAGGAGATTTGTCGCTGTTCAGGCATTATTCCATACGAATCGATCTTCGAAACGCAAGCGCAAGCACGTCGCAGAGGCTATTGGATTCCTGGAGTTCCAGTAAACGCGAAAATTGTAAACGTAGAGAGGAATACTGACAGGAAAATACATTTAATAAATACGCTATTGTAAGTTTATTGCACGAACGGTTTCAAGTTTCTTTTTATTGTTTCAAGTCTCTTATAATAAGAGGGTGAGACCTCAAGTACCGTCCTGAGTTATGTCGAGACTTGAGTTCCTAGTGTAATGCGAGCAGTACTAGTGACCTTAGTTAGTCAGCTAATTTAAATGATGTTCCTAAAACCCATACGTTTTCCGACTTTGTCCTCTGTTTGAGCTTTATCGTTAGAGTTTATTCTGTAGACAAGCTAGTGCAAAAATCCATAATTTGTAGAGGTTTCTGGCAAGGATCTATGGGAAGACTTCTAATTTTTGGTTTGCAACATTCGATGTGGTTTTGCTAAGACATGAAAATTTCCAGGTATACTATTCAGTTAGAACACGGACAATTCAAGTGGAGTGTTGTTCGGAACTACAAGGATTTTACGGCTCTTAATAGTCGATTGAAGGCCCACAGAGCTGCTCAGCAGATTCTTGCTCCAGTTCGTAGGTTAGCGAATTTTCTCGTTACTTTTGCGTTCATATGTTTTTTCCCCACAACGATTTCGATACTGATGCCAAGTACACGAGTTTTTTATGTTTACATTATTGTCTACATTATTATTATGCACATGTTATGTTACAAAGGTTAGAGGATAAAGCTTTCGGATTTGATCAGTCCCTGAAGGATGCGCCATTCATCCTACTTCATTAAGGATCGTTGGAGTTGAATTGAGTGTATATCTGGCCTTTACTACAAGTCGCGGTGGCCTACGGTGTATTGAGCTAGTGCTGCTATCCTCCCGGACAAGTCTGGTACCAATTTGCCGACCTCGGAGGGATGGAGTACTTGGTGAGCCTTGGGCGCAGGGATCGATTCCTCGTCTATCCTCCGACCATTGTCCTACACGCCGTCCTATTATGATATGTTATATACGATGCAATTATATGTGTATTGAGATCGATTTAAAAGAAAACTTGCAGATTGTATCGCCATAAAGTGAATGAGTAAGTTTCTACGTTGTTCGAGGATTTCATACTGCATTTATACCTTCGAGTGGAGATGTTCTTTCGGCAACTTTACTTGTACTAAGGTTTTCACTTTGTGAGCTTCAAAGATCCACCCGGAGGTGTAAATGGGAATGCGAGCTATCAAGTTCTGGCATGTTCGTGACGTTGTCTTTTTTGATGGATTGTTATCTTCTAAGGATTGAAAAGACGTCGTGCTTCCTTTTACGGCTCATTCAACGTTCAATGGTTCAGCGTTTTTTTAGAGCCCAAGAACGTGTTGATGCAATGCTGGAGTCAGTGGGGATCGACGTTATTCCGGACCACAAAGAGGATTGTTTATATTATCGCCATCCTAACAGTCATCGACGAAAGCACTCACGAGTAAGGATTTTTGTGGTTTTCATTATTTGCTTAGGTGTTAAGATGACTCATATTTATGAGTCTTGTGAGCTCCATTGTTGATGCTTGGGCCATTAGTGTGAGAGGCTTAGTGCGTTCTTAGCCCTTCGTAACAGGCATCTTTGTTTTAACGAGTCAGTGGACTTCTGCCTCCTTACGGTTGAAGTCCATCGCATAGTTAAAAAAATTTTGTGGCAATAGTGGTATGTGTTTCATTGGGCTTTTGGTTTTCTGAAGAAGTTTGTGATGGAAAAGAGCTCTTCCCAAGCACAGGCGACCCCTTTGAATAGATAAGTCGTTCGTTGGAAATTTACGCTCAAAACGTCGCCCCCAAATTTTGTTCTGGAATGGTGATTTTTGTAGAAGTTCTTTCTTGATTCAAAAAAGGACCTCCAGGCCTGTTCATTGTCAAGTATCCTATTTCTCTCTACCTTCAAATCTAATGGAGTAAATAAATATCATCACGGATTTTAGAACTGCTTATGTTTTTGCGGGCAACTGAGAGGCAATCCTCCAATACGTCTAGTAGCGCATATTTACAAGCATCAGATTTACTCTTCATGTTAGCTTTTAGGTAATACCAAAGACATGCACTACTTTTGACATGCGTGAGGTGTTCCCACTCAAATTTCGTGTTTAAGTGACGAAGTAAATTTGTTCTTGAAATCGAAATTGAGAGCTGACTCTGCGAGAACATTTAGACGGCCATATTGAAGCGTGAGGTAGAAGCACTTGATGGGAAAGCACCAATAGCATCAACTGAAAACACTTCTCCAATTTCTGAAGAAGCTCGAATGAAGATGGAAGAAGCGGTTCAGTGTGAGTTTTAGTTCTGTGCAAATTGTTCAATATGTTATTCACACGTTTCTTGAGCAAATCTATTTCAGCTGGCATTTTACAAGACGTGAATACAGCTGCTCTACCGAAGGATGTGAAGAAGAAAATACGAACTCGCAAAAAACATGGTCTGCCACGATTTCCCATTATACCGGATTCCATGGTGACGAACTTAGAAGTTCGAAAGGTACTTGAGTGGTAGTTCGGAAACAACCCTTTTTCCATGTACCAAAATCCTTTTGATCATCGAATTTGAAACAAGCTCTGGATTATTTTGATTTGGAGTGCAGTATTCAATATTCGTTTTCTTGCCATCACTATTGATTTTTTAGGACCAACTCGAGAATTGGTTGCAAATGCTGCTACACATCCCAATAAATCGTAATCATCATGAAACTGTGTGTTATTAGTTCCTACCATGTGACTACTCTCTTTCATGTTATTCAGATTTGCAGAGCTTTTTTATTGTCTTTCAGGCTGAATTCCTTGAAGTTTCTCGTTTCTCGTTTGTTAACGAGTTGGGAGGAAAGCACACTGAAGGTTTCGTTAAGAAACGCCCTGGAGGAGCGCGAGTTTTTCTCGGTTGGAAGCAGTGTTGTGTACGATATCTGCTTCCTTGGAGTAAACGGTAAATTTGCTGGTCGTTCAAATGGACGATGTGAAAATTGGTGACACTGGCTGCTATGGTCATCATGAGTATCCTTATCCGATTTGTCTGATAGTGATTAACTACATATTGTGGTTTTATGCTTTAAATGCTATATGCTTACAGGTGGTTGATGGTTCGCGACTCATTCGTAGCCTATATGGATCATCGAACAGAACAAATTCGCCTCGTATTGCTCATGGATCGAGATTTCAAGGTGGTAATCGCTGTTAACACAGAATGCTTTGTAACTCGTGGAGTTCAGTTGAATTAGTATTTTCCTATTAAGAAGTAGATTGCAAGCCGTTGCTACTCGGTTTAAAGTTTCTTTGTATCTCTATTCTGTAGTCATTCTTCCTTTTTCTCTGAGTGCTCTATTTTTCTGCGATTTAAACAGGCCAGTTGTTTTTTGCCGTTATATTTCACCGCCCTTTCAGGTTGCAGCTGGTGGTAAAGAAGCTGATGGGATACCCACTGGTTTAATAATCTTCAATACGCAGCAGTTTGTTTTATCTACACTTCTTTACGATATTTTATTTAAATAGTAATGAATAGTGCACATCCTTTTTTTTCTATTTTCATCGGGAAGATCATACATATCTGTAAGTATTCTGTGGGGTAAACAGCATCAGTACTTTAGTAGAACTTCTGTAAATTAGCCGAAATGTTACTTTATAGTGAACTGCACCTTAAATGTCGGCGCATAGAAGATACGGCAAGGTGGAAGGCCATCATTGAACAAGCCATGCATGGAATTGGAAGTATTTGGATTCAACCGCATCGTTTCAGTTCCTCGTTCCCTATCCGAGAAAATTCTTTTGGAAAGTGGTAAGCTTTAATTTGATATAAGAATAATAAGAACAATAAAGATCTTGATATTGATCAATTCCTGTAAAATGCGCTATGCATTCGACTTCATTAAGCATCGTTTGGAGGTGATTGAATGCATATCTGAACTTTACAATGATTCGCGGTGGCCTACCGATGTATTGAGCCATAGATGCCATCCTCCTAGGCAAGTCTAACGCCAATCTGCCCACCCCCGAGGGATGGAGGGTTTAGTGAGTCTAGGGCGCGAGGATCAGTCCCATATGTGTTACACAGCGCTTTCGACCACTGCGATACGCGCGCCATTTAATTTACTCTAAAACTGATTTGACAAAGTAGTGAAAAATTCATGCGGAATTTGTGTGCTTAGTACAAACTGCAGGTGTTGAAGCTGAGAATGAGCTTCTTTCTTAGGCATAGAACAAGATTTTGATGGGAAATTTTAAGAAATTTATGGCAATTTTTTCATAAACGATCTCTTTCTTTCTCCTTCGCGATCAAGTTTTTTCTGTCCAAATTTTCCTTCTGTAGAATTCGGTGTGGATTAGTTAGTCATTATAGTTGGACTGTAGCAAAGAACTACTTCTTGAAATCTTTACTAATGTTGCTTAAAGATTTAGTCATTCGTTTTTTTTCAAGGTTTGTTGACGCTCGATCTTATATGGCTCACGCAGCTGATATGATGGAACTAGCCAGAGAGGAAATTTTTATTGCTGGTTGGTGGTTGAGTCCTGAGGTACAGAGATTTGTTTAGTATTGCATGAATAGTTCAATACCGTTCTGGTTAGTGATGCTCTCTGACCGTGTGTCGTTTCAAACCTCGATTAATTAAACAAGAATTTCGAGGTTTTTCTTTAATTGAAGCCATCAAAGAGAATCCTTTCTCTTTTTTTCCTGTTGTCGTGTTTGGGATTCCATTTATTCTTTAAGTGCATTCGTAGAGTAGCCACACGGTGTCCTAGTGTCTTTATGTTTTTCTTATACGTTTAAAAGAATGGAGTGAATATAAAGTAGAACCTTTCAGATTTATATGAAGAGGCCAGCACTTGAAGGTAACTACTGGAGATTGGATGAAATTCTTAAGCGAAAAGCGAACCAGGGAGTTCGCATTTTCATCCTGATGTACAAGGAAATGGAAATGGCATTAGGTCTAAACAGCATATACAGCAAACGCACATTACAAGCTCTTCATCCAAATATTAAGGCTAGTTACCACACAGAATACGGTAATCTGCATTTTTTTTTGTAGAGATGGGAGATTTTTCATTCCAGGTAATGCGTCACCCTGATCACTATCCGTCTACGGGAACATTTTTCTGGGCGCATCATGAGAAATTGGTCATCGTCGATCAACTGATTGCGTTTGTTGGCGGTGTCGATCTGTGTTTTGGTCGTTGGGACGATCATTGCCATTTGTTAACAGATCTGGGATCGGTTAAATTTGGTCAGCACCATCTTATGACGAAAGATATTAGCATGGTAGGTCACTTTTTTCTCAATGCCTTCATGCTATAACTAAATGGGTTATGGATTTTGTTATCACATTATTTTTCATGCCTTCATTATCTCCAATTCTATTGCGTTCAGACTTCGGGTCTAAGGTCATTAGTTAGTGCTCCACTTACATTTTCACCACTTGGTTTAGAGGAAAATGAAAATGTGGATCCTGTAAAGGACAAAGAGAGATTAACGAATAGCGTAGAAGGTAAATAAATCGTTCTTCTACACCCTATTCAGTTTCCTAAGATTTAGTCGTGTTTTCTGATTGTTCACTGACATTAAAAAATATTTGGAAACAGAAAAAGCAAGAAAACAGCATCAAGTGGTAAGCATCACAATTGGTGGAGTTGACGAAGAAGGCTACGCTGATTTCTTAGACGAGTCTGTCGATGATGGAGAGGTATGTGAAATTCGAATCGTTTTCTTTCTGTTGAGACGCTATAGCTTTTTGTTGTCGAACCACAGAGGGATAATATTTGATGTCACATAGTTAGGTTTCAAAGAAGTGAATGAACTATCAACCTCTCTGTGTACTGTATAACTTTCAGGCAGTTTTTGCGGATACTTGCAAAGAAGGAGTGCTGTTAAAAATCAGTACGAAAGGTATCGTATTTGTTGTTTTTGTTTCGACTTACCCTTAGATGTCAAGTCTAATACGTTCAATGTTTTTTGTGGTTATTGTTTTTTTTTTTTTTTTTTTTTTTTTTCTTTGAGAAGTCTTGCGGTGAGCAGAAGATTTAGCGGGAAGAATCATCGGCTTTTCTAAAGTACTAGCTTCTACGTAACATATTCGCGACGGTCCACATTGCTTGTAATGCATTTCTAAATGATTTGTTTCTGCGCAAATCGTTTTTTCCGGCACTTTTTTACTTAATTGGTACCTTCATAAATGCTATACCAAGGATGGTTGAGAAAAGGTGTATCCTGTTTTATACTTAACTCACTCAAAGTTTTTTGAACAGGTTTATTCGTAAAACTATAGAGGCTGTTGCTGTTTAGAAGATTAACCGATTGCTGTTTTTTCTTTGGGAGAATCGTAGACAATGCGTATTGATTTTAATGCAGACCAAAATTGCCGAAATATGCGTCTCATATGGTGCGGTGGCCCGAAATTAGGCGTTTTTGGAACTATTCCTACGAGCGACTTTTTGTTAACCTCGGCATTAATCAAACAACGCTTTATATTCTTGTTGAGCAAATACGAGGCGTTATTTTATTCTTTATTCACTAACTAGCTGACGTTTCGGCGGATTTCGCCTTCCTTAAAGACAGGATAGTCCAGCCTCTTGGTTTAGCGGTATCTCTGTTTGGTTATGAAAGTGTTTCGCTTAGTAGGTTGCGGTTAACTTGACCTTTCCAGACTCTGAATAAGGCGATATCCGCTGAAACGTCAGTTTGTTAGTGAGTAAAGAATAAAATAACACCTCGTTTTTGCTCAGCAAGAATATAAAGAACAATGAACTACGTGTAGTTTTTAGGTACACGTTCGGTCTCTGCAGATTCTTCAAGGCGGCGAGCTAATACGGAGAACGCGGATGGCTCTCAATGGCATCGGACGGCAAACGTTGCTGCTGTTTCTGGAAAGAAGTCGACTTTTTTAAATGTACATGATGCAAAGGGTGGAAAAGTGGGAATTTCTTTCTGAGATCTCCTACAGATATTTTTATATTCGTATCTCGAATTCTAAATTTCAAGCTGGCTTAAGCTCACCTACGAGTTGAGAAGATGTTCGTCATACCTTGCCCTGATAGTTTTTGAGTAAAAATTTGCATGTTAAGATTTTTAGTTTTCGTTTCCAATCTTCAGTGAAAAGGTCCCATATTTTATTGTTGAATATGTCATATATGGAAATCTTAACTACTGGCTTTCTGGAGGCATAAGTTTTGTGAGCTTTGTGTTCTTCGTCTAGGCATGGGCTTTAGAAAGTTTGCTAACAGCGCATAGATTTTCGGAAACCATTCATTAGTATCACAAAGGTATTAATTTTTCTTTTACTGCCTATTCTTTTCTATGGGAAGTTACTATGTAAAAGGTAGGCAGTTAAGAATGAGCAGTGAATATAAGTTGTGACATTGTGATTTCAACTGCAGCTTCAACTTATCTGTATTGAATGTCGATTTACTCACTTGATACTTGAACGGCCCGTCCTCACTAGTTGTGCTGACCCCAACATATTCATCATTTTTCGGAGATTTGCTGGTTAAGCCGTTGTGGTTCCTTGGAATCCCGAGGACAGCCTGGCCAAAGTCTGCCCCAGGTCTTCGCCACCACAGGCAGTGGCAGTCTTTGTGGAGCGGAAGGAGTTTTGCCACCATGCGACTTTAATACCAGGACGGTGGTGATTCTGTCATTGGTTTACTCTTAGTTAGGTTTCCCGATGGAAACGCCAGATTCCTTCTCAACTTGGGAAACCCTGCCGGGGGGAGGAATCCCCTCGCTGTACATCGCAGTGCGACACCCAGGAACATCTCCCAGCCACGGTGAGACGGTAAACTGTTGGGAAGGAATGCCGATTTATGCCCCCTATATCATTCTAGTTTATGGGTTACTGCTGATAGCACCGGTAGATAGAGTTAAAAAATAACTGAGTGGAGAGCAAAGCAAGGGATAAAACTGGTGTTATGGATTGGGTGTGAGCCACCTGAAAGGGTAGTAACAGGTCCGAAGTGCACCCGAAGTTCTTGATTTTCCTAATATGTCAGCATCTTTGGTTGTATTCACTAACAAGTCAATTTTGCAGTATATTCGTCGGGCAGCATCAGCTCTAACTCGACCTCGAGTTCCCATGGACATGTTGGACAAGGCTGGACCTCCTCCATCTGTATTTGAAAATGCAACGAGATTGGGTATGGACTTTTCCACAGCAGCAGAAAAATACAAAGAATACGTCGAAAGTGGAGCAGTACAAAAGGTAATGTATGTAGTGGTCACTAGTTACATTTATTATGAATTCCAAACCAATTAGAAGATGGAGTACTCTGACTTGTTTTTTCACTGGCTTCAATCAAAAAGTAAAAATTATTAAGCAAAACAAAGAACTAAGTTTTCTACGTGTTTTAAAACGTGGCTGCTGCGAATTCAATGCGAAAGAGGAGTAGTGCAAGTAGGAGGAAATGGAAAAAATGGCTAACTTTTCAGTAAATTTTGCGTTCTTAAAGTACTCCTACTTTAAGTTAACTTTTTATTTCTTTCCTACTACATTTTTTCACAGCAGGATATTACGTGAAATACAACCACAATGATGCTGAGATGTTCGCGAAACTCCGAACCGCCGGTGTCTATTGTGGGGATCGAACACACTATTACTCTTTCCGGGTGCTAATGCGTTCACCACCACGCTGTGCGGGTCCTTCGTTTTGCCTGTCTTTCTACTAGTGTCATGTTTAGGATGAAGTAAAGACTAATCAAAATGCGGTATTTCGAGCTAAAGAAAACAAAAAATATGGTAATACTGCCAATTATTTAGTGTACAAGTAGGAAACGTAGTGAAATAAATCTCAGAAGTCTACCTGTTCATCATTGGTGGTTCCTGGGTGCAAAACTGTTCTCTACAGCGGCTATTCATCTCCTAAGCAAGGTTCCGGTGCGCTAGACATTTATATCTAGACGCTAGATTTGAAACATTTTCTACGACAGCCCCTGATATGTCGTTTTGCTTCGCGTTCTAAAAACAGTAAAAGAGGAATCTCATACCAGAATCGTGAAGCTTCCCATGTCTGTTTGCTGATCAGAGTCCACTGAGCACCGGTGGGCAACAACGAAAGGTGTTTTATTAATGTTTGCTCGAGTTTCGCAATGAACAACTATTTTTAGTTTTTACCGTTTTTAGAACGCGAAGCAAAACGACATATCAGGGGCTGTCGTAGAAAATGTTTGTTTCAAATCTAGCGTTTAGGTATAACGGTCAAAATAGCTGATTTGTAGAAGTGAAAAGGAAGGATCAATTGAGGAAGAAATTTCGCAGAGAGAAATTTGATTTTCCAGACTAAAATATTTGAAAAAGACAGCAGGTGTTTAAAATGAGAACTATTCAGGAGAAGCATCGTTCGCAGACTCCTCCTGTGAAAAGAAAAGAAAGTCGTATTACACGAGCTATGGGAAATTGGAGAAGCAACCGGGCGAAGAAAAAGTGGAAGCAGGTAGTGCCTACTTTATATTTCATATAGTGAAGAGACTGCGTATATAATGAATACGTGAATATGAACAGGTACTCGATTCTGATGAAGTCACAGCTGGCTATGAATTGGATTTCCTTCGTCTGAAGAAAATGGACAGTGAGGAAAAGGATTCGATTGATGGTGGTGTGAAACTTTGGGTGGGGAAGGATTACGTCAACTACATCCACAAAGATTTTATCGATGTTGACCTGCCTTTCCATGGTTTGCATTATATATTTTCTGATTCTTTATGACCTGTCTATTTTCCTATTGTATGCCTTGTATAACTCTAAAGTAATACAGTGTTTCTTTTCTATCACTACTTAACCGAGCGTTGTACGGGGACAGCAGCAACATTCTTTCATAAAGGATTCGCATTAAGGTGATAACGTAAGAGGTTAAGGTATCACTACATAACAGTACAATCCACATTATGAATGCAATCCAACTTTTCTGTTGAGATTAACGGTGATGTTATCTTAAAGGTTTAAAACGCGTTTTCAAGTTTACTTAGGTGTGACATCTTGGGTAATTCGATAGTTTCAATCTTTAAAAGGACCAGTCTATAGATTGACAAAAGGTTTCTATATCTAACAGGTAGAATGCTAGGTTTAGATGTCCACTCTTTCCCTTTTAAAATTCCAGATTTCATTGACCGTGGGGCCACCCCACGCATGCCATGGCATGACATCCATTCCGTGACCTTCGGAACTCCTGCCAGAGATGTTGCACGACATTTCATTCAACGTTGGAATGCCACGAAAACGGAGAAACTAAAGGTTGCTTGTTGTTACCAACTTAGGCTAGTTTCCATTGTCGTTTCCATGCATATAATTTTTTGTCTGGAGATTAGTGTTTTTTTTCTCTTCCAGGATGATATCAACTATCCGTATCTTCTTCCGAAGAGTTACGAGAGCTTGAAAGTACCTCGTGTGTTCAAAAATCCCGCGTTTAGTTACAGTGTCAATGTACAGGTGAATTTTAACTTTATTTGTGACTTCGGTTATATCTGTGTTTAAGATGCAGGTGAAATTACGAAACAAAATGTCTTTCACTAGACTTAGACGTAGACTTTTTCTATATGTTGATGTAGTCCACCAATCAATCTGTCGATCCTAAAAGAATCTTTGGGGCATTATTTTTTCACACATGCTTGTGCCGTATTCACCTGTATCACCTGTCATTCTGGTGATCGTCAAGTGACTCGAAAGTGTCCCAGTAAACCTTCCACTTTCCTGTCGTGTGCAGGAGTAGCCCAGTGGGTTTTTCTTGGTCTAGCGACTCGTTGAGCATCATACCCTACTTCTGCACACTGTATTAGTACCACAAAACACAACGCAATCATCCTCTTCAAGGAGTAGTTTATGCTTTCTATCCAGTGTTCCTGAATGATCCTCACCGACTTTTTAGTCAGACATATTTTTATGTCTTCTTAAGTAATTAACCTAACACGAGTTTGTTATATTGTATTCGGCTAACGTTTCGTTCTTTTCGTCTTCTTCAGACCACTGACGGTCTTAGTCGATGGCTAAGTTATATCAATGTGTAACTTTTCACGAACTGCCTCTCGCAGATGCGTTTATTTCACTGTTTAGGTTCTTCGTTCTCTTTCGAACTGGTCCGGATTGACTAATCAAACTGAGGATTCAATACAGATGGCATATCTTTCACTCATTGCCAATTCTAAAGTAAGATTTTTTAGTATGCATTTGTCTAACCCTTATTTGAAATAAATCATTACAGCATTACATTTACATAGAAAACCAGTTCTTCGTTTCAATGGTTGATTCGAACGATGTATTGAATGAGATTTGTAAGGTTCTATGCAATCGTGTGATTCGTGCTCACAAGTAGGTTTCTTTCTTGTATTTGTTTATGGTGAAGCAGCGAGTTTTCCTTATTCAGGGTAATTATAGTGTAAGCTATGTTGGTGTTTAGAGAAAAGGAACCATTTCGGGTGTATATAATGGTTCCTCTTATGCCTGGATTTGAAGGAAATGTCGGTGCTCCTGGTGGGTCGTCATTGCAAGCTGTTTTGCACTGGACATATCAATCTCTCAGTCGCGGTCCGAATTCGTTGTTCGAGCGTATAAAAGCGGTTTGTTTAGTTTTTATGTAAACTATCATTTGCTTCATAGAAGGCTTCAAAAGAGTCGGTTTTTCTACTGCTAGGTTATGCGCTGTAAGAGAGGGTGGGTGTGTAACGCAGTGGTCGAAGGCGCCCTGCAATACAAGAGGGCACCCCAGGCTCACCAAGCCCTCCATCCCTCTGGGATCGGCACATTTGTACCAGACTTGTTTGGGAGCACAGGGGATATATCGGTTGGCCACCATGTGTCATTGTGAAGGCAAATATGCATTCATTCACCTCCAGCGAATGTTTGATGGAGCTAAATGCATAGCCATTTCTCAGGGAATGACCAATTCGAAGAGCTTCATCCTTTATCCTTTAAGTTACCATAGGTAACGTATTTTACAAATAATATGTGGACAAATTCTCATTACATGGGAAGGAGCGTAAATACCGTTTCAATTTGAAAAGAATGCGAGAATGAAGCAACGATACAATGACATTTTATTCACATCTGATGCGATAATTTGTGAGTACTGAGTGCAAGACATTGACGAAAAGTAAATTTTCTTTTCAGTTTTTTTTCACCAATAATGTGAGAAGTAAAGCGACTAATTGGAGTATTCTTTATTTTAGGTTGTACCCAATCCACATAACTACATATCGGTTGCCTCCTTACGAACAAACGATATACTTTGTGGAAAATTGGTAAGCGTTGTATTTTTTACTGAATCACTTTTACGATTTAATCACAAGCAGTTTTCAAATCGACCGTCATTTAATCTCGCTAGTAAAGTAACCAACATATTTTTAATTTTCGTCTGTATGAGAGCTGATGATCGCAGTTGATGGTCCGCAGTTCGTGTTCTCGATGTAGCGTCTTCGTAGTCGTCAGAACACGAACAACTGTGGACCATCGACTCGGATCATCGGCTCTGTTGAAGACGAAGACATCGAAACGTTAGCCGAACACAGTTCATTTATTAACCTCGTATAAACTCAACAATTTAAAAATGTGTTAGTCATAAAAGGTTTTTTTAGGTGACTGAGTTGATATACATTCATAGCAAGCTACTTATTGTTGATGACGAACATGTTATAATCGGGTCGGCTAATATCAACGACAGATCACAGGTTAGTGTTACTATGTAGCGGACTTTTTTTCCTCTTCTGCCACATATTTCATGCAGGTCGGAAATCGTGATTCGGAAGTTTGTTTGTTATATTCGGACATAGATAAGGAGCCATCACTTATGAATGGGCGCCCATATGCTGCGGGAAAGTTTGCCAAATCTCTCCGATTGCAGTGCATGAAAGTAAGTAGTACTTATTACATTCGTTTATGCTTGAATGCTTCTCCTATTTCCGCGTATTACAGAGGTTCATTCAGACTCTAGCAAATTTCCTTTTGACTGGTAATTTAACAGTTTCACAAGAGCTTTTTTTGTAGCCTCGTCGTCCTAGGACTTTTCCAAATGCTTACCGCTGTCCTGCTAGGGTATATGTTGCTGCAGGGTAGCAGAGTTTCCTTGCATTCGTTGTTTAGTTTTAGCTGAGTTAGGTGGAAGTATCGAATTGCCTATCAAATCGACAGGCGATGCTTCTTTTAATGAACAACTGCTGTGCATAACAGTTGGACCCTCAGAAGCATCCTCCAGCAGCCACAATAAAGAGTTATACCATTGTGAACAACACAGCCACTTAATTCTTCGGCGTTATTTTTTACTCATTTTTTATGGCCACTATTGACCGTTAAAATTCTAAAGGCGTCTCAATACACTTGGAATTCTACAAAAACAGTTGTTTGGTAGTGTGGATACGTAGAAGACTGTAGTCCATCCATTCTTGCCCATTAATTCGTTATGATTTTGCAGCGGGTTTACGCGTCTCCATGGTGAATCCTGACAGTTCTCAGGATGGACTTTCTATTAACCTCGGCGGCATTGGATTATAAATGCGTCGTTTTCTTTCTCAGCAGTCGCGAGGTTTTTATACAGCACACGTTTCCTTCCATAGAAAAGCACTCAATAGAATACAACAGTAGCTGACGTTCCGGCAGTATAGCTTTGTTGAGAGCCTGGAAGGGTACACTAATAGGCATCTTACTAGGTCAAAGCTCCAACAGCAGAAACAGAAAAATGAAAATCCATACGGCTATCATATGAAAACAGCTTCTCGAAAAACCCATCGTTTTTTACGTGCCTTCCACTGAGGAAGAAGAGCTGATCAGTGTCACTTATGGTTGACGACTGCACCACCTCACAATCGATGTGAAGGTACGGGGCGAGACCACGTGTGATCTCTGGGTATTCTTCCCTGCTATTCGTTGTAGGGTTCTCAGCATTTATCCAGAAAACCTCAAGAAGATTGCACGCTGGTGTTTTGGCATCCTTTACGAGGATGGTGGCTTTTATATCAAAATCGTCTTTTCTACGTTTTCGTATCCTCTGCGTTCCTAGTAGGGTACTTTGTCTTGCTTTTCGTTTACCATCTACGTCTAACTTTATCTGGATATGTAATGGTGTGCGCGTCTCGCCAATATTGGTCTCCGCAAGTATTATAAGAGATCAGGTATGTCGTACCTGAACTCATGCAGTCACCGTCCCTACCAAACGGGCAAATTACTCAGTTCTCTGTCTCACTTAGATGGTCATATAGGCGGTTACAAACTAATTGACGACGAAAAGTATAGAGTGGTATTTCAACTACCGCTGTAGATTCCTCTGGACCTGCCCTTCTTAAGCACCGTTTTATAGCTACTTTATCGCTAACAAAGGGCAACATAAACGGGACTTTCTTTTGGCCAAGTATTTTGTTTTGAAGGGCCGCTGTTTTACAATTTTGCAAAGCCCTGCCAATTTATAATCCTGACAATCATGCCATTGGTCGCAGTTTTTTAGGTTTCACATGGGGCAAAATACAACCGAACTGTTGTCTAGCGATTGTTCGTTAATTAAAGGATGAAGGACAAAGCTGTCGGTGTTGATCGATCCCTGAGGGGTGCGTCATGCATTCGACCTCACTAAGTATCGTTGGAGGCGACTGAATTCATATCTAGTCTTCACGATGACTCGTGGTAGCCTACCGATTTATTGAGCCAGTGCTGCTATCTTCCCAGACAAGTCTGGCACAAATTCGTTGACCCCGAAGGGATGAAAAGGTTGGTGGGCTTGGCGTTGGAATGGATCCCGTGTGTATGCGTGGCTTATCCGACCATTGCGCAACATGCGCCTCTTGCTGAATTATAGAGCGTATTTTGCCTACTTGATCCATGATATTTTGAGCTCTTAATAAATCATGTAGGTCGGAACCGCGAAATTTTCTTCTTCTTGATTATTTGTGTCTACATCATCTACATCTACATTCATGGTTTGCAAGTTGAGGGCACTATCTGTGCCTTTATCCTGCTGATTTTTTAAGCGTGTATCGAGGCAGAGTGCAGTTCCGTTATGTCACTAGTTGCCTGACGGTTTCTTAACCACTGTATACTTCCCTTTCTCTTCGAGTTGAGTTATACAATGCAGTCGTTCTCCATTTTAAAGAATTCCAAAAATCCACGTAGTTTCCATGGATGAGAACCCCGAATCGAAAAACTGGTAGTATATAAGAGTGCTAACGCTTTCCACAATCGCAGACAAACTTGTCGCTATTCTTCCAAATACTAGTTTTTTGTTTAGGAACACTTGGGTCTTCTTCCTGATTCCCGACGTCCGTCAAATTTCAAGTACGATGTTTCTTGCGACGATCCCGTGGCCGAATCATTTTTCGTGGACATTTGGCAGAACACGGCACGGTCAAACATGCTCATTTATGAAGAAGTACATTCGTTTGCTTTTCTGTTCAGATGTCGCTACTCGTTCTGATGTATTTATTATATTCGAATTCGAAACTCATTCTGCTGTTTAAGGTATTCCGCGCCTATCCGACGGATAATGTGGAAACATTCGAAGAATTCGATAAGTGGACTGGACAAATGCCACTTGCTGAATATTCCCCTCAGCAGGCTCAAGAGAAACTTAGGGATTTGAATGGTAGGCGACGACAACGCGATTTTTGATTTTTGCGAAGATCTTTAGCGCCCATATTCACTTTTTCTCAGGTACCTTGGTGGAGTTTCCACTCAATTTCTTGTGCAAGGCAAATCTTACGCCAGGAATCACTTCGAAAGAGGGTCTTGTTCCAAACGCAGTTTTTACTTGAGTTATTTTTCTCCCTATTTTCTCCCTTTCCCTATTTTTCTACCTCACTGTACATAATGCATCCTTCTGTTCCGTCATCTCATTCGACACTCTTTATTTGAAAGTCTCTTCTCGTATGTTTACACCTCACAACTAGTCAAAATTAAATATTGTGTTCATGCATGGGTGCACTTACATAGGCCACAGAATTCTTTCCCATCTATCAGTATTTGTGTAAACAGTATTTTTAATAAGTGATTCCATATAGATTTCGATAATCAATAGACAATTTGTGACCATAGTATGTGGTAGTTCTGGCTTCATATTTTATTATAGAGAGTTATGTGAAATTGAACCGTTTTGAGTAATGTGATAAAGTAGTATTTGTTGAGGACCATTGTTGTTCTTAAAGCCTTGACATCTCTCTCTCTCTCTCTCCTCCCTCCCTCTCTCTGTTCCACCACCCTTGTTCCTGTTTTATATGGCCGGTGATTTATTCCGCAGTTGTAATTTCTATTCTATCATAGTACCGTTTCATTAGATTTTGGCATGTTTTCAAATATTGCACTCTACTATTCAGACATAATCGCGGTGCTATCTGCTTCAAATTTTCGAGTCAGTCTTTTGTATGTGGAGAAAAAGTAAGTTCTATTTGGTACCGATATTGTAGAATTGTTCCAGTTTTCTTAGTTGTATAGACCTGGGAGAAAATTAATGAAATGTCTTGGAAGAGTTCTTTCCATAGTTTGAACGGCTGTTAAAAGTGCTCAAATTGAGTACGCTGTATGCTATTCCAGTACCTTCTTGTCCTTTGTTATGACGCGAGATTGCAAAGAAGAATAACAAGGGCAGAACTGTCAAGTGTGTCGAGTCTGACTGGTCATCTCCTCTGCTGGCACTGCCAGCGGATAGGGAAGGGAAGGAGCATGCTAGCGCTGTGTTTCGCTCATCGTCACATCGGTGACACGAGGCTCAAAACGCATGCAGATTGGAACTGATACTCCCTTGTCGACATCAGTGAGTTAGAAAGCCATCTGAAGAGATATCGACGCTACACGTGAATTGACAAAGGCAGTTAGATATCACCTAATCATCGTTGAGCGTTTGGTTGTACTCACGCTGAAGAGGGGTGCCTCGAGGTAATCAACGTAAGTGGGAAGTGAACTGCACAGGTTCTGGTCGTTCTACCTACTGTTGCTACAGCATTCGCTGGTGGAGCAAATGTCTAAGTTTGCTAAAAGCTCAAAAAAAAGCTCTTGGCGTTGATCAATCGCTAAAGGATGGGCCATGCATTCGACTTCATTAAATATCGTTGGAGGTGATTGAATTCATATCTGGGGTTTACAATGACTCACGGTAGCCGTTCGATGTATCGAGCCAGTACAGCTATTATCCCAGACAAGTCTTGTACCAGTTTGCCGACCCCGGAGGGACGCAAAGCTTGGTGGGCTGTGGGCGCGAGGATCGATTCCACGCGTGTGCGCATTCGCGCCTCCAACCACTGCGCCACATGCGCCCCTAGGTTTGGTATTAACTGATAATATCTTTTTCATCTGGCTGTGCAACCATTCGTTATTGCCGCAGAGTGTTCCAGTTCCGAGGTGGTGAACTAATAGCGACGTAAGATTATCCGGAACTGATGTAGCTGAGGTGACACAAAGTGGTGGGCACAATTGTCTGGAGACGATTATGTCGACACCAGCGTCAACCTAAATCAGCCTGGGTACTGAAGTGACGATACACAAATGTTACTGGTTTGATCCCACGATCCAAGCAAACGAAGTCCTCCACCTCTACACGGTTACCGAGTTGACTAGAAGACTTGTTCGACGGATAAAAACTGAATTCATACATCAGTTGGACACCGCAAGTCATCACTTGCATTTTACTTGATATGCATTTAATCCTTTCTACGATTCTATATATGGAGTTGAATGCAGAAACGATTATTGGGCGCTCAACACTTTATCCATTATCCTTTAAATAAATATTGGGTAATACCACAAAGTGTCTTCAATTGATAATCAATACTCATTATTTGAGTGCACAATGTTTCTTTACTATTGACGTTAACGGTAAAGTAACATACGCTAATCGTTTGTAGCTGAAGTTGCCAAAGTAGCGCTTTGCACCTTCCGTCCGTATGGAAAAGTTCTCCGATAAATTTGTGAAAGATCGGCTTTATTGTCGACATTGGAGACGAATGATTCCTGATCGTTAGGCTCAGAATGTGTAGATGATTCATATTTGATCGGAATCTGAAAGATTTCACTTTAACGATGATTGATCGATACTCATATGGCGCAGTGGTCGGAGGTGCCCTGCAACACACGCGTGGGATCGACCCTCGTGCCCATGGCTCACCAAGCCTTCCATCGCTCCGCGATCGGTAAATTGGTGCTTGACTTGTCTGGGAGGATAGCAGCATTGGCTCGATACATCGGTAAGTTACCACGAGTCATTGTAAAGGCCAGATATGAACTCAATCACCTCCAAACGATGCTTAGTGAAGTCGAATGCATGGTGCATTCCTCACGGATTGATCAACGCCGAGACCTTTATTCTTTATCCTTTAACTAAATTCAACAAGTAGTGGAATTGGGGTACAACAATATGAAACAATCAAGTATTTGAATATTCAAAGCTACTAGGGTGTTTACTTCATCAAATCGTGATGCCTCAGTCATCAGCTTTTTAAACTCGTGTCAAAAATTTGGGTTGATTTTCAAGTTATTTCATGATGTCTCATTGTGCTTTTGGGTGCAGTGCACATAGGTGATCGCAAGCGTCACATACGTGGATGGGGATACTGGATCGTAAGCACTGATTTCAATGCATAACTGCCTGAGAGTTTGTTTTGCCACAAAGAGTTCATTTGTTACGTTTTTTGTATTTAGTCAACATAGTCTCCTATAATTTAATAAAGCTTTTTTTCAGATGAACTTTTCAGTGCGCCCTTCGCGTGACGAAAAATTAGCCTTGATAAGAATCTACGGCCACATCAAATTAGGGACGGTCATGTATATGTTAATAACTTGTTATCGTACCTCAGTTGGTGTCTTCTCCTCCTTCATTCCATTAATAATTGTTGTTCCTTGGGATACGATAGAAGATTCTGGAATTTTGTCACTATATAGATTGTATGCGCTCTCGGTAGTATTAAAATTCATGGTGGCAGGCTGTTGTTCCTGTGTGGCGAACAGTGGTGCATAGCGAAGATGGTTCATCCGTTCATCAAACCTTGGTGAACTGAGGAGTTTAACATTCTATCCGGAAACCCATCTAGAAGCCTATGCCTTTAGCAAGACTTGGTGGATTAACTTCGGGTTCTTTCTCGCCAAATATCGTAAAATGGTAGGCCTCATACCAACAGCGCTAGAATCTGCGGGAGCAAACGGACATTGGAATAGCTATAATGTACAATGAAGACAAACGAGGGCTTTACCACTTCCAACTCGAGTCACTCGATATGTAGTGGGATTACATTTGATATGGAGAGAACCTGGTATATTTCCAATTTTTCTAACGTTCCTCACCTCGGGTTCCATTTTGAGCATTTTCCACCAAAGACAAGGTATTGTTCGCGACTAGTTTAGGCTCAGAAGATGTAATTACGATCTCCACATAGGATTCTTCATTCGTTTTTAACCCAGTGGTGGCGATATTATTTTCAATAGTAGTGGACACAGTATTTTCAGTGTTTGACTGCTCGATAGTGTCCAAACGCTTGTCGGAATCTATTGCTATGGGTGAAGCTTTATGTGTAGTTCCATGAGTAGACGATTCAAGGAATGGGAAACTTCGTTCGCGTATGTCTTCGAACATAACGTTTCCGTTATACGGCGACACAGAGGAAATTAACAGAAACAATGAGCAGAAGGAGGAGAGAAGCATGTGTTTCATCTTTGATGCGGTTCCACATCTAGAACGGGAGCATTAGTTTTATAGGCTCCTATTCAGGCGCCACGCCCTGAACTGTTGCCGGTGTTGCTGTTGAAAATGTGGATCCTTTGTAAACGCGCGAATTAGTATCTTTATTGACAGGCTTATTTACATAAGAATATCGCCAGACGTCAAACGATGTGGAGTGCGCGAGAAGAGTGTGTGGACAAAAGTGGGTGGTTGCCGAACGGGACTGGTCAGAGGCAGTCCGGATTGAGGTGAATCGGAGCATAAGAGCAACTCGAAATAGCACTGCCATGGCAGGCCAAGACGAAGGGTAAACACTAATATTAGTGAAAATAGAAATGGGAGACTAAAAATAAAAAAGACGGCAAAATTAACGGCAGACTTATATGAATGTGTCGTTTTCTTGCTCAGTAATCGCGAGGTTTTTAAACAGCATACATTTAGTTCCATAAAAAAACACAATACAATACAACGCTAGCTGACGTTTCGGCAGTATCGCCTTCTTCAGAGCCTGGAAGGGTATACTGATATACAATCTACTAGGCCAAACGCTTCAATAACACAAAAAGACGAAGAACTCTCCGGCAATTACACAATCAACAACTTCTCGAAAAACCCACCGCTTTTTCGTGACTTCCAATGAGGAAGTTTAGAACAGCTGATTATAGTCGCATGTGGTTGACGACTGCACCATCCCACATCAAAAATCGATGCGAACGTACGAGATCAGGTCGCGTATGATCTCCGGGCATTCATCCCTGCTATTCATTGTAGGGCTTTTGGCATTGATCCAAAAAGCCTCAAGGAGTTTTCGCGCTGGTGTTTTGGACTCCTGTGCAAGGATATTGACTTTTACTTCAAAATCGTCTCCGCTATGCTTTTGTATCCTATGCGTGCCTAGTGGGGTGCTTCGTCTTAGTTTTCGTTTGCCATCTAGGTGTTCTTTTATACGGATACACAAAGGTCTGCCCGTTTCGCCAATATATTCATCTCCGCAATTGTTACACGAGATCAGGTATACCGTACCTGAACTCATGCAATCACCGTCCCTGCCGTAAGGGCAAATTACGCAATTTGTTGTTTCACACAGACGGTCATACAGGCGGTTGCGAA